AGGTTATCAGACGTTTTTATTGAGGTGGCACAAGCTATAGTATCTATGTCTACTATTGTAATCTATATATCGGCAAAATTATTCGGGGGGGGGGGGGGCACGCCCCCCTCGGTTCCTACGGCCATGTTGATTAAATTTAGGGTCACTAAGGAAAGAATGTTTTGACTGGATGAATGGTCTGAAAGAACATGTGTTAACTTGTCGAGTCGGTAACACATAGATGGGGTTTTCTTATAACCAGAGTGTGTCATGGTTTGATGCAAGGTCATTTGAACGAGTTCAAGGTCATCAACGGAGAAACAACATTCCTTAACTGTCTTTCTACTGGTGAGACATTGCAAGTTGATACCCCTTACAAGATTGTTTATAACCTTAGAATGTGGCATGACCTTGACTCAAGGTCACTTCTTCCTGTTCGCAGCTCCAACGGAAGACCTACTCGTTGCTTTGCAACGAGCTCTGCTCTAGTTGCTATCTGTTCTTGTTCAGTCATCATGTGTCAAGTATTGTCTGTAAACTATTGAACATTTTCAGCTTCTTTTCTGGAACCAGTTTCAACTAATTTCTCGGTTGAAGTACTGTATAGGGGATTAATTTCAGGGGTTGTAATTTTCATGTTTTTCTCTCCTCTGAAACGATCGCGGTTTGTTGAATTCGCGGAATCGGTATATAACTAAGGTTACATGTACCTCCCTTCAATGTCTATATCCGTTTAATCCATAGCATAGCTAGAAGGCATTAATCAGCGTTATGTATTCACTTCACGAACAATGGTAGATTTATATATAAATCAGCAAGTTCGATAGTTATTTGAATGATTTTTTAAAACCAAAATGTTGATAAAAACATGATAATGCAGGTAACAAATACAGTACAGGCAACGCGGATCCCGTATTAGACCGCGTCCCCTCGGCGGTGTGTTAATCCTTTCCGCGATACACCGTCGCTGGTTTCGATCGCGGTACTACCTGCGACCGTGTTTACACCGCGGCGGGGCCAGCTACCGTTTTTCTTCAGCTTAGAGTTGTTACATGTAAAGTGTTTTCGATTTTTAATCGCGACGGAAAGGGGGGGGGGGTAATTTATTAAAGATCATGGCCTACATTATATCGCTCCATACCATTGAATGATTTTTAGATTTAATTTGAAGTATTATCAAATTGTATAATAATTATTTATTTCCTACGCTTTTTATCCGTAGTCACTCAAAATTAGTTATTTCTCAAATAATAAAAAAAAAACATATATAGCTAGTACGTGCGGTAAAATTAGATGGAATATCGTCAGCTCATTTACCTTATGTATTTATTTAAAATCAATAATTCCAACAAAAATTATTTTGAAATTGCTAAATAATCCATCTTATAACAGTAGCATTAGATTTTTTTTTAATGCCATCGTTTCTTAATGCATTAAAATGCACTGTCCACGATTAGCCCGTGCAGTTGCGTTCTCAGTTACATGTAGCTAATGCATTTATTTTTCTGCGAGATAAGATAACAGTCTTTGGTTTCAGAAAAAAAAAATAGGCCTTTGTATATATAAATATCAAAATGAAAAACGATGATACAGAAGGAAACAGTATTGTAATTAAAAACGTGTACATTTAGGAATATGTTGCACCATTAACTGCTAATACTATGCGCTAAACATGTAAGACTGTAGAAGTAATATCGACATGATCTTTTTTGTTGTTGTTGTTATTGTTGTTAATAAAATCATTACATCCTATATATTCAGGATAATTTCATTGCTAGTTTTTCCATTTTCTTTCTTTTTGAAATTAAATATGATCATGCTCAGCAGTATTTTCATTTACACGCATCGTCAAATCGGAAAAACCCCTCTTTTATCAGCTGATTTTGGGCCTTAAAATAATTTGAACATACAACACACACAAACAAGAAAAAATTCTTATATTCAGAGACAAAATGTGTTAGGGCGATAGACTACGAGTTTTCAGGTGTCTGTGTAACTGGCCAATACTCTTACGAGGTACCTGCAATACCTTCAGATTGCGTAATCTTACATCGTGAAGCAATATTGGCTATCTAATAAATAAATGTCTTGGAAGTATTTAGTAAGTAAAATAGTGTCTGTGGCTGTTACTGTGTCCGTGTTTTTCAGAAACTCGATCGTAGAATTAGACAAAGTCCTCAACTGGTCAATTAATTGATAAATCGGCAACAGTATAATATTATCTATTCACAGAAACGACTATTTTGAAACTGAAAAAAAAAATCCAGAAGCAATTCATTTCATTTAAATTTTACATTGAATATTTTGTTTTAATCGATGGACTCGATAAATCAATAAACTGATTGAAGGAAAAACGATGCATGTTCCGTAACATTCTGTACCGTAACGTTTTTTTCTTTCTTTTTAAATTCTACTTACATAATACATGCACATGTACATATATAAACAGAAACATAAATATCAAGCCCATCGGTATTTACAGAAAATAGTAAAAAAATAATTTTATTTATTTTATCTTATTCAAACTCTATTAATTTGTTTTAAAAGTATGATTGATCTTTTTCCTTCTTTTATACACTCAGGGTTAAAAAAAGAAAGAAAAGAAAATAGCAAGTATATATATCGACTCGCGTAAATTTCATGGTTGTAATTTCATTTGAAAATGACAAAAATAATGAAACATTGAAGGGACTGGTGTGTTGTATGGCTAGACAATGCCTTCCGCATTCATAGAAATTTACCCCGGTACTCTAGGACAGGTGTGAAACCCCCAGGGCATGCCGTTTCCTGCTCTTGGTCTGCTAATCCCTATACACAGGAAATGATCGCGACTAATACTTAATACACAAAGAAACAGAATATATTCAAGTAAACTTGGCATTTGTTTTGTTTTTTGTTTGTTTGTTTGTTTGTTTTTTTTTTTTGGTTGAGTATTATTGAGAACAATAAGTTTTCGCCTTATATTTAGTTATCCCCCCCCCCCCTTTATTTTAATTGTTTTGTGGAGTTCATCACCATGCACATCCTATCTTCTGTAATTGGAGAAATAATTACATTAAAAACAAAACACTGTTTACCAAAGAAGTAAATATCGAGGAAAAGAAAAATTATGTTATATTTTATTGATATCTGGTATAACGTTCACGCGCCCACTCACCAGCTCACTGCAAACTCTCGGCAACGAACAGGTATACATGTATTTTTTTGCTCATAAGAATGCTGAAAACTGTTAATCGGAACTCGCACTGACTATTGTTCAGCACGTGTATGTAACATTATTGCAGTTCGCATATAATTTGAAAAGATCGAGTTTTTAGAACTAATGTCTTACATTTCCGACATTGAAATTTATCATGTTAAATTCTCAAATGACACAGCTTATATATAGTTTTCTTGATACTATTTAAAACAAAAGATGTCGTTTAAGTATTGATATATAATGAAAAAAAAAATTAATAATTTAAAAAAAAAACAGCAAACGTGTAAAGTATCTTCTGCTTTTCAAATTCTTTTTTTTTTTTTTTTGGAGTATGTTCACTAATTTCATCTCACTGTTGTAAAATAAAAAAAAATACTTTCATAAATATACACACACTGCGGATCTTTAATCTTTTTTTTAAAGAGGGAATTTCGCAAAATTCCTGTTCGGGGAGATAACTCGCGTTTGTTTACGATACTAATTGATCGATGATTTAACCGCGGCGGGGACAGGTAGGTGATGAATTTCCCGCGGAGGGAACGCGGTTTACCTGTCTCACCTGGCCAAATCCCGCGTTGTGTTTATACCGCGACGGGGCGCGGGAAATACGGGATCCGCGTTGCCTGTACTGTACACGTCGTAACATAGTTACGTACGGGTATTCAAAACCCATGACCCTAGTGTTTTGATTGATGAAACATGTAGCGTTGGCTATTAAAACAGTTTTTTTTTTTTTTACAAGTACAGGTTATTATCTGCTGGGTGATCTAAATTAATGTCAAGCGTGATAATTAAAATAATTGAATGACAAGTACTACTCGTAATAACTGAAATGCACTGCACGTATATTTACCTATCGTAGTCTATGCTCAAATTTCCAAATATAACAAGTAGGTTATTGAAAACTTATTCACTGTTTCTTGAATTCACGGATTTATTCACACCGTAAATATAGCGAATATTAACACCGTGAGTTATTTTCCCCCTATACAGTATACAGACATAATATAGAAATGATTTTATCGACTTTCTCAATCTATCATGAATTTAAAAATGTAAATATAAGCATTTAATTGTAAACATTAAACATTTAGCATCTCATAACCAGAGTTGGAAATTACTGACTGCCCGAGGCAGTCTGTTTTTCAGGTAGGCAGGGACAAACTTTAGATTAACCTCGGTGGTCGGGGTCATTTAAACAGGTAGTTCCTGTTTTCCTTTTTTTTCAGGATATAGTAAGTCTATAGAAATTAAGTAAAATATAGTATACCAAAGGAACACTTCTAGTGAAAAATATGAGATGACCTATAGGACCAATATTGGTTTCAGTCTTTAGAAAAAGCTTACCGATATATGTTCCGGTCACTGACTTTAGGTCACATGTGTGTAGTTTCTTGTTTCTCATGTATTGCTTTAGTTCTACATTAATGGTAATCTAACAACCAAGCTTTATGATAAACGCGATGACTTTAACTTTTCAATCGTCAACTTCCCTTACTTACTCAGCAATATACCTTCATCACCTGCATATGGGGTTTATATCTCTCAGTTGATTCGATACGCAAGAGCATCCTCTATGTATGAACAATTTTTAAAAGGAGGTAAGTTATTGACAAACAAATTGCTGAAACAAGAATATCAGCAGTCTTGTTTAAAGTCATCATTTTGTAAGTTCTATGGTCGATACAATGACCTTGTCAGCAAATACAATTTATCATTAAGTAAAATGCTGACTGACGTTTTTCATACTTACTGTTAGGCCATTATTTACACACTGAATTGTGTATGGATTTTTCTATTGTTTCCCAGTCGTGACAAGGAGCACACAGCGGGTGTGACTGGTCTGCAGGGGATGCTCACTCCTCCATGGCACCTGATCCCACCTCTGATGTTTTGGAGGTCCGTATTTGCTCTGCTCCTATTTTGTATTTTTTGATGGGCTTTTGAGCTTGAATACTGATTGTTATCTCGATATATTTCATTCTACTCAACTGTGTGTTCATGTGATCCTACCTCAGTATTTACAGAATGATACATCCCTTGTTTGAGGGTCACTCTTGATGTCTGACTGAGTAATGGCAATGGGACATAAAACCTGAACTGACCTTACCACATTCTTTTCTTATCTGAAAACCCTCATGCATTTTTAGCATAACATATCGCCAATGCACACATTTTTCCAAAGGAATGAACTGCATCTACTCTGCATAGAACAGTATCTCTCCCACTGGCACAACAGTACTATTACACGTCATTATATTCTTGAAAGGCAAACTCAGCAATTATTGCTCGGCATGATTTTTTTTTCATGACACCTGCAGTATCGAGTAACACAAAGTGAATGATTCATGTCCTCGAACAAAGTGTGCTTACAATGAGGTTTAGTTCCGGTTGATTGCGTTTAGTTAAAGAGATTTTATGATCTGCATTTCCATAGATGTCTTTTATATCAACACCAAACATGCATTTAAGGAAGAAAATATATTAAGTAAAATGCAAAAGCTTGTATTAAAAAATCAAAGGACAAGTGCACTTAAGCAATGCTTAATGGGCCCTTTTTCAGTGCCATATTACTTTAGAATGTATTACCAAATTGTTCTCTTTTGGTAATAGTTAAACACAAGTGGACCTTTGTAATTAAAATCACATTAAAACATCACCTAAATCAGCATGGATTTGAAACAAATGAAGTTTTTTAAATACCTATAGATACCCCAAATCCGGAAAAGTCGTACCGAACCTATTTTGAGTTTCATTTATTTAAATCAAGGGGAGGAGACATTTAAATCAGACACTTGAACAATCTGATGGTGGATCATTGACAGGCGTGTTTTTGTGCAATTTTACCCGAGAAAAAAAATCGAATGAAGTTATATAGATACCTGTATTCATTAGTGATCAAACTAAGAAATTTGCATGCTTGCATTTGAAATAATACAATAAGTATTAACATTAGTTCCTTTAAATTTTAAAATGAAAAGAAGTGTATTTAGGTGGCTTTCAATACCAGTACCATTGTCTTGCATGAATGTTAAAAATGTTTGACACTTTTATTTATGATGACATTTTAACGACACTAAACTCTCCTAACCATCCCGTGTTCCTAAAATCAAATACATAGAAACTTCTCTATGCGGCTTGACTTCGATATAATGATACAAAACGTGGTTATGTTTTACAGTGAGAATCTTTGAGGAATGTTTACCTGGGTAGAACTCACGTGACTACCAGTATTTTAAATAATTTATTCCACGGGTGGGTTCAACATAGGTCATACAGGTAAATAGCTCTTGCTTGTTATAGGAAAAACATTGAACTTTTCATACATTTTTAATATTTTAAGTACAAGCCTAATCATGTACAAATTTCCTACTTTCACACAAGTTTTATAAATGTATAATGCATTTTTTGTCAATCGCACAAGTTTGTACAATGTTAGGCTGACAATAAACAAAAGCTTTGAAATGAATGACCGTCCTCGATTTACTATAGAAAATCACGAATGTCGGCTGACCCCTACCACATTATATGGCTTTGCTCTTTGTATATTCATGAATTTCAGCGATAAAATTTGTTGAATCTTATGGTTTAAATATCAATTAATGATCTGAGATGGAAAATTATGCTTAATTTAATCCTTCATTTTTTCACATTTTACCGGGGCCCTTAAGTGCACTCGTTCTTTAGTGTTTATACAGGTAAAAAGTTTGAAAAAATATAAAAGTGCCAACAAATGGTTTTGAACCAGGACACTAAAAATGTTCATGGTGAGAGTCTGCGGTCTATCGTTCTGGGCTATGCTGACTATGAGGACATTTGTAATAAATATAAACCAGTATGATAGAAATAGGTTTTCACGTTTTTTGTAGTTTTTTTTTCTATGAATTTCGACCCTAGGCACCTCTAAAAGAACCTTTTTTTAAATAATTGCTTACTAGATCAAAATCTATCAAAATTTCATAATTTAATTTAGGGGCAGGCAAAGGGTGATTATATTGCATCTATTGGGTATAATTTTCTTATCAGAAAATTGTAGAGATATGCAAGGTTAATTAATGACAACATTTATTTTTCCTTTTTGCCTAATACTTTTATGATTTTCACTAATAAATTGATTATTGAAAAAAGCCTTTAATATGACTGCTGATTTTATCTCCATCTGTTAATTTTCAACACCTTTTCTCATGATTATAGTAGATAGAGAACAGATTATGATTTCTAACATTTACTTTTACAGATCATTTTCTTGAGATAGGTGGAACCAACAGTCAAATACAGACACTTTTAAGAAAAGTAAAAGTCTGGCTCAGGTAAAAAAAAAAAAATTATTTACAGTTTTAACAATTAGTAATTTTACCTTAATTAACTGGAAAAATCTTATTTGACGAAATACAGGTCAAGAATGAAGAGTTTAAAGCCTAGTAGGGATTTTGGTCAATCATTACAGGTAATCTGCAGTCCCTCTCGAGAATTTTACACTCATATGGAGACACCACCACTTGCCAGTGGAAAGCTGCAAATTCTGTCCTATATTCTGCACTCATGGCCATTGAGCAGTGAGGGGTCTTTTTCATGCCAGCACCTACTGTGACACGGGACCTTGGTTTATAAGGTCTCATCCGAAGGACTGGTCTCCATGTCCCACAGTGGGATTCAAACCTGCGACATAAGGATCAACTCCTTACTTCGCGACTCTAGAGCAGACGCTCTAACCATGGCGCCAAGCTTGTGACTAGCTCAGTTTTAAAGAAATCATTCAAGATATTTTTTATCAAACTTAATATGCTGATACATATATAATTAGTAAGACCTATTCAACTATTTCAAAAACTTTTGACCTTTCCTGTGACCTTGACCTCACTTTCCTTTAATTTGCATTTTGCATGGTTTTAAAACCATTTAAAATATTGATATCTAAGGCTATGCATCTATACATAATTTGGTGAGAATTTATCATCTACATCCATTTTTTTTAGAGTTCAATTTCAATTTTAAAGAAACTTTTCAAGATATTCTCATCAAACTTCATATACTAACACAAAATTTCATGTTGCATTACTATACACTCGGCGGGCATACATGTCCTATGGACATATTTCTAGTGTATTGCTATTTCTCTTGTTTGTTTACTTCCGGTCAGTAAGTGCCCCCTAGGGGCAAGCCCCAGTCCTGTTTTCTTTTCCAGGGTTGCAACAGCGCCCCCTAGAAAAACAAGTTGCACCATCCAATCAAATCGTGTTTTGTGCTGCTTTATGCCAATGAAATTAAGGCTGGATAGCATATGTATTATATTCTGACCAATGGGGTTGCCGTATTTTCAAATAATTAGGATAGACTTACCACTTCAGCATTCCTTTCATCACTGAAGTGATATACATGGTCAAAAATTGACTAACTTTCATTTTTGTGTCAACTGCAGAGCAGAACGACACTTAGAGATCACTTTACCTGGTGTCTGTCTGTCCGTCTGTCACACCTTATATCTCCAAAATTTTGAGAGGCAGGGTTTTGATAATTAGCATTTATATATGTTTTTGAGCTCATGATACTATACTTTGAAACTGTATGAAATTCAGTTACCACACAAACTTATATTTAAATACTATGAAAATACATTGGGATCAGTATTCCACAATGAATCGTGTTGACTGACAAAGTGACAATTAAAGTAAAGACAGTCTGAAATTCCTTTCCTCCGAGGATTGTTGGAAGCACCTACATGTGTATTAATAAAATGATAAATAGTTATTCCTCATAATTTCAATTAAATTATTCATTTGAGGACTGGGGAACCATATTTTCTTTGATTGCCAGATTCTATCCCAGTCTTTTACTTTTGGATCCTTTTTTTCCCTTGCAGGCAAATGCATGAACCTCCATGCTAATATTAAATTAATAGCTGACCACTCTTAGATTTATTTACCTCTTTAATGACGATACCTAGCACTGGTGACATATACATTCCTTGAAACACTCTAGTTCCTATTTGATTTTCACTAATATAAAGATTATTGAAAAAAGACTAAGGTGGTCTATAGTGATCAGTCTATTCATTCATCTGTCTGTCAAATACACATATCCCTTGTTCAGAACACAGGTGACTCTAAATACTTCAAACTTTATATTTTTTAATTAGATACATGTAGCTGCTTTGGAACATCTGAAAGGTCTATTACATTATCACTAGTTTTCTTCATGTAAGTTGAATATATTTTAAACTTTTAAATTTTTATTTTTTCCAGGTAAGAAAGAAATTCATGAGTTCTTAAATTGCCCTTGGAGTTCTTGGATTGCATCAAACTGCTAAAAGACCTCAACAAAAACAGTGTCTTGAAAATAAAAATGAAAATATTCAGTGAAAAAAAAAATGATGAAAGAGCCACTAAAAATCTTCAAGCCTTTGAGCTGAAATCTGGAAGTCAATCTGTGGACTTTACTCGTATGTCATAATTACCAAGTCATCATTTGTATATAATAAATACACTAAACTGTAAACACTTGTTAAAATGTGTATGATTTTTAGATATAATTTGTAGCTCACAGACTTCAATAGTTTCATGTAATTTAAGTAATAATGAAAATTTCCTGTTGTCTAGCTAGATTAGAAACTATTATTGTCCAATTTTGGATATTGTGAAATAATTCATCTAGTATGCATACATGTGTGTACACTTACGTGTAAATTAATTGTTATAGCAAATTCAATCGATCATTAAGTTGAATGTCGACTAATGTTTTTCATCAAAATTGTTTACACTGAACTGTTTGCGGATTTTTCCATTTGCCCAATCATGTCAAGGAGCACATGGCAGGAAATGCTTTCTCCTCCATTGCACCTGGTGTTTTTAGAGGTCAGTGTTTGCTCTGCTCTAATTATGTATTGTTTCAATGGACTTTAAAGCTTGATCACTGTTGGTAATCTTCATATTTCATATACTATTAGAGTACTTGAAGAAAACTGTAAAGATTTAACATACAGTATAATGCATGTATATTGCACTTTAAGTACAGTGTATGTGGTTAAGAAATGTTAAATCGTCTCATAGTGCATTGAATTTGTTGAAAATTAGAAAATATGTTGAAATTTTTTTTTAAATAATGTTAGATTGCAGATTTTTTTAAATCATGCAAGTAAGAAATTGCTAAATATTTTTTAGCTTTTCTGGACAGTCTAGATGAGTTCTTACTATATACCTAGCATTGTCATCCCAGTTAAAATTTAAGGAGCAAGGTTCATTCCTAAGCTCTACCTGGACAAACTTGCATGGATTAAAGCACATTAACAGATTTACTTCAGATGCTTGACCTGATCTACATTTTCCTCATGTTTTTTTTTTTTCGTTTTTGTTCGTTTGTTGTTTAACATCCCTCTCAAGAATTTTTCATCCATATGGAGATGCCACTACTTGCTGGTGGAGAGCTGCAAAATTTGACCTATACTTTGCACTCAGGGCCTTGAGCAGTAAGGGATCTTTTTTGTGCCCACATCAACTGCTTGGCGGGACCTCGGTTTATATGGTCTAATCTGAAGGACTGGTCCCCACATCCCCAGTGGATTTGAACCTGAGACTTAAGGATTAAATCCTTACTCGCGACTCTAGATTACAAACTCTATCCTTTGCGCCACATGGGGGACTCCACAAGATTAAGTGTTTTGAGCAGTCCTATTCTCATGTAATTATAAACTCTATGTTGAACAAACCTGCAAAGATGATGTATGTACATGTAAATGTTTCAGGGTACCAATCCTTGATTTGACTTAGATTTTCTGGATTAATGACCAGTTTTTTAGAGAAGGTTCATTTAAAGTAACAATATACTCTTTGGTGATCAGTAAACATAGATGATGTATCCTGCTTCTGATGCTGGATGTAACATACATTTTCAGGGTTATTAACCCAGACCAACGTGCATAGATTTTGGATCCAGGTGATATACATTACCAGAGTGTTTGTTGAGTGAGACTTTGCCTTACTAGTAGATAACATTTATAGAAGTGAGCTTTGTATTCTTTGATTAGGTATGTTTTTTCTTTGCTCAGGATATATATACCATCAGTGCCAACTACCATACATTTTATATAATAGATGTAGCTGTTGTTCAACTGAATATGATAAAACTGTGGATGAAAATAATTTGATTTTTGTACCTTTGAATGTATTGAATTAATTTGTAAAAGCTGTTATGATACAATGTTTGATATTTTATAAAAGTTTTTAGCACATGCAATCAATAAATGTATCAACATATTTATTTTATTTCACTTTTTACCCTGCAAACTTCTTAAAAACAGAATAATAATGATCCATTTAACTGATACTAGGTTAGTGTCACATTGTACTGGTATATCATGTATATTGAACTGTAAATGAGAAACATCTAAATATGTCAAATCACAGCATGAATCATGGGATTATGTAAGAAGTGCACTATCTTGTGCTTTGGTATGGTATTAATAATAAATGTTAAACTATCATTTTTTTTTTTCAAATTAACAAAGGATATGCTTGAGTGACTGTATTTTGACTAGCAGTAAAAATAAAATGATTTTTAAGCATTTGAATTATTTTGATTCATGGTCTCTGCAAGTTTAATGATAGCAAATATGTACATTGAACATGGCATCCACATATTGCTATACTGGATGGGGCATAACTTTTACTGAATCTTAATCACAACCTTGAAATTTTATGTAGTACATGTACTCTTGGTTTCAACTGGTCAAATGTATTCTTAAATCAGAAAGAATTTAAACAAATATAGGCATAAGGTCAGAACTTCATCAATTAGTTGGAAAGCGAATGTACTCAGTGACTATATGGTTTGAAAGAAGCTGGGTATAATTAGCAGGAAAAACTACTTGATGTCCACTGTGAACTTTGTGTCCTCAACAAAACAATATGGAGTATACTATACTTGGTCTAAAGAATAATCTATGTCTGCATTCACTTTTAGGTTAAACTGTTTTGGGCATTGAGAGTTTGTTTGTTGTTTAACGTCCCTCTGGAGAATTTTTCACTCATATGGAGATGCCAACACTTGCTGATGGAGAGCTGCAAATGACCTATGCTCGGCACTCAGGGCCAATGGGCAGTGAGGGATCTTTTTCATGCCAGCATCTACTGCGACACTGAACCTCTGTTTGTATGAAGGACCGGTCTCTACGTCCCACAGTGGGATTCAAACTTGTGACAAAAGGATCAACTAACTCCACGACTCTAGAGCATAGGCTCTTTCCACTGCACCACGTGGGCGACAGCATTGAGAGTTAAATGTGGATATCAGAACAAGCTACTCTGGGCTTATACTCTCTATATATTGATTGATTGTATGTTGTTTAACATTCCTCTCAAGATTTTTTCTGTCATATGGAGACACCACCACATGCCGGTGGAGATCTGCAAATTTTGTCCTATACTCGGCACTTACGGCCATTGAACATCGAGGGATTTTTTTCGTGCCAGCACCTACTGCGACACAGGACCTCGATTTATACGGTCTCATCTGAAGGACCGGTCTCCCCATCCCACAGTGGGATTTGAACCTGCGACGTAAGGATCAACTCCTTACTTCGCTACTCTAGAGCAGACACTCTAACCACTGCGCCACTGGGGCAACTACTCTCTATTTAAGTCACTTGTGCAATGACTTTAGTTTAATTCAAAGTTTTGTACTGATCATGTTGAGTCACATTAGCACAAATATCTTTCTGCTGACCTTGACTAATGACCATCCGCAACTATTCTGGTTGGAAACAATATGTTAATTAATGCATAATAAGTGAAATTACTATGAAAGAAAAATGGTCTACTTAAACCACAAGTTATATTTATAAAAAATATACACTGGTCTCCTCAAGTCATATGAGAGAAACATAAAATATTAAGGAGACCATTTTTTTCATATATTTTTAGGAGGCATTTTTTATGAAAAAATAAAGCAAGAGTCGACTAAATGGTGTTCTATAGATCTTTGATCTGGTATTTCTTTTTAGAAAAAAACAAATTTAAAAAATCTGTATATTGTCTCCTTAAGCCATATATAATGGTCTGGTCTCCCTAGTCCTTAAATCAGAGTTATATATATATATATATATATATATATATATATATATATATATATATATATATATATATATATATATATATATATATATATATATATATATATATATATATATATATATATATGACATATGGCTTTAGGAGACCAAGGAGGATATATTTTCTGGCTTAGGGAGACCACTGGATTAAGGCGACCTTTTTCGGTCTCCCTATTATTTTGACCTCATCAGTATTGCAAATGTCTTTTTATAGATAAATAAACAGTCTGCCATTAAATATTATTAATCTTTAACTCTGTTATTTAACATTCAAAAGTTGTCTAATTTCTATCATCTTCCCTAAAAAAGAAAAGAATTTATAACCTACGTATAATTTCAAAGGATAATTTTTCTGCATTTTGGAGACCATGAAAAACATGCAATTAAACAAAAAATCTAGCATATATATTTTTTCCGCTTTTGATTTGTTCAAATGAGTGTTTCTTTAACTTAGTTTTCCATGTTTTATGTTAAAAACCTAAAAAGGAAAAATATTGTAAATTTATGAACCATGTTTTGAATTCTTAGCAAGTGCTTTCCGTCATTTGTTCCGAATGCCATCGGAATGCCCCTTCAGTTTTCAGAAAATGACCTCTGAACACCATGGATGTTGAGAAATTTGGGTAAGTAACTAAAATGATACAGTAATAAGTTGTAATTAAGAATACACAAGACAAACATTCGTTTGGGTTTTTTGTTGTTTTTTTTTTTTTTTTTTTTTTTTTTTTTTTTTTTTTTTTTTTTGCCTAGTAATTTAGCTTTCAAGAGAAAAAGTATGATTTTAAATAATCGTTAGACTATAGTTCGGTATATAAAATCCTGAAGGAAATTCGAAATAAAGTTAAATGATAGGCCCCTATATTTTTTTAATTCTTTTATGCAAGTCCACAAACAAATTAAATATTTAAAGATTAGGCCGAACGTTGAAAAAATAGTCTCGCAAGTTGACGCAGCTATTTCGAGCTTAAAAATTTAAATTAAACTTTCTGTAAACATCATGCAGGACATGTTCATCATGATATAGTATAAATGAAACAGACCCTGTAAGAAAAAAATAGCTGTAATTTAATAATTGTTTATTAATATAATGTGGTCCTCTGCTAATAGAATATATATGCTGTAAAAAAAAATCTGAATCAGGGTGAAGCAGATTTGATACAATACATGGCTGAAGGAAGGGGGAGGGGGCAGGCCCCCTGTAATTTTACTGAAATTTAGGTATACTATAGAAAACATTGCTCCTTTATGCTTGGGCCCCCTCAATAATAACCTCTGATGATCTATTTTTCTTTTGCTTTTGGGCCCCCTCAATAATAACCTCTGATAATGTATTTTTCTTTTGCTTATTAAAATTTTTTTTGGTTTGTAGCCTCCCCCAACCTGAAACTGAAAAATGTTGTTTGGTTGTGCTCACCCCCCCCCCCCCCTCCAACTAAATTACGTACGGGCCTATTCTCCATCCCTGAGGTTTTCTTTCACCAAAGAAAGATGAATTGGTAACAGTTCAGATATATATAGCAATATTTACGGAAGGGAATATTCTCGTTTAATTATGA